CACATTTGGCTCAATAGTAAAATTTATTTATAAAAATTTGCAGATCTTCTCTGGTTGACTGGCAAATCACCAATTAAGCTAAAGCTAAAAATAAACATATCTATAACTGTATACTAAAAAAAATGAGTATAACGATAATGTTTAGATTACCCTATATATAGTGTGTAATGATAACATTTAGAATAACAATATAATTAATAATAAATTATATTACCCTTCTGCCAATTTTATTGCCCCATAATATACACATTTTTTATCACGCATTCACATATTCATTAATCTCATTACTATATACATTTATTAAAGTATTTGCGTTTTACTCTTTTTTTCGCTTTACCTATTGCTTTTTTTTAATTTTTTACTATTAACTTCTCTTTCACTTTTGTTCTATCACCTTTTTTTAGTTGCTTTTCTACATTTGAATATCTGAATGCTTAAACAACTATGATACAAATACATATTTAATATAATATTTGCATTTTATTTTTTTTATTTTTATTTTTAACTAACTCATATATGAATTACTTTCTTACCAGCATCAAATGATATGGAGTTGCAGTCGCTATGACATTACTCACATTACTTGCTTACTGCATGCTACTTAATCTCGCCTTATTTTTTCTTTTCAAATCTAATTTGTTTTAGTATTTTTTCCTCTTCTCATATTACATAATTTAGACCTGTATATTTCTATGCATTTACTTAAAATACTATTTTATTCCTCCTCTTTTTGTTGCTTATATTATTTACTCTTTTTTATTTCTTATAATAACCCACATTACCTGCTTACTGTATGCTACTTAATCTCACCTTATTTCATCTTTTCAAATCTAATTCAGTATAGTATTTTTCTCTTCTCTCATATTACATGATTTAGATCTGTATATTCCTATGCATTTACTTAAAATATTATTTTATTCCAGTACTTATATTATTTACTCTTTTTTTATTTCTTAGAATAAGTTCCTATATATTTATTAGCCTACGATAGATTTCAACCTTTTTTCACAAATAAAAAGGATATCTGCTAGAGGATTTATTCCATTTCTTCATATGCTTTATACAAAACAATAAACAATGGTCATGTCCAATCTTCCTAATAGAAATACAATTTTTGTAGTGGGTTCAGAAATAATGAAAAGAACTCATTGCTGAAATTTATTCTAATATTTCACTTTTCGTATATACAGTTGTTGTTAAGGTTATGTCTCTATAATTTATTAATATTGTATTCTTTTACTTTATTCACTTTATACTATTTACTACATTTTCTTATCTTTTATTTGCTTTGTTTTACCCTACTTATTCTTTTCCGGTTTTTTTTTTTTTTAGAATTTTCTTCCTGAATTTTACAGTTCAGGTGCTCTTCAAATTTCTTTTTACCTTCTTTAAGTTAACATTACAACAGAGTCACTAATTGATTTTTATTGTGACTATTAGCTCAATGCATCATTTAACTTATAATATAATTTCACATCCATTAAGTTATGTGATAGAGGTAATTGTCATTTGAATATTACTATTCCATACAACAAATTTTTTATACTCTTTAGATTAATCATTATATTTCCTTTTAATTAATTCTTAATTATATTACATAATACTTGAATTTGGATTTATCTTCTTTCTTTGCTATACATAGTGACTCTCGATATAACAGAGCTTATAGTTCCAATTCTTTACTTCATTATATCAAAAGCTCTGTTATATCAAAATCTCATGATATACAAGATATTATAGTAAATCATAATTTAGACCCATTATACTTTTTCGTATTAAGCAATATCTGTTATATCGATAGTTCATTATATCGAGAGCTACTGTGTATAGACTATTTTTTATATACTATTTTTTAATTCAGCTATTTAATATTAACAACTCTAACCTACTACAGATTAAATCATCTTTTTATCTTTATCATAGCCTATAACTCTACCATAGCTCTTTATTTTTTTAAACTTTTGGTATGAGAAGTAGGATTAGCAGGTTTAAAACTAAAATTAACTAACTATCTAATCTACTATATAATACTAAAACTTTCTCTAATGGTTTCAGAACTTTTGAAACTTTGAGTTGGAAGACTGAATGAATCATAGAAAGACTTGCTCCAGGTTTCAAAATTTATAAATCTAGAGGTTGGAATCAGATTTAATAATTTGAGTTTATTCTGTAAATTTTGAGATATTTTAGAATTTAATCCAATTAAATTTTAATAAATTCTAAAATATCACAAAATTTACGTGATAAACATAAATTATTAAAACAAGTTCCAATCTCTATTTGGATCTTGCTATGATGATATTAAAGATCAGGATAAGTATAACCTTGTATTTTGTCTTTACTGCTGATTTATATGCTTTATTTGTAAGCTAAAGGTAATTTTTCTTTTCAAACTTAAGTACTACAGAATTCAATATTCAACTTCAGTCGCTAAGATTCTTAACAATTTTATATGGTTAGGGAAGTGTCATTTATTACCTGATTTTTTGTAAATAGTAAATATTCCCCCCTCCCTTACATGATAAAATTTATGGATTCCAATCATTTTCGCTACATTCATTTTTAACAATAATAAAACTGATTAATCATATACCAATGTACATGATACTTTGTTAGGGAACCCCATTCTAAAATAATCAGGTGATAAATGATACTTCCCTTATGAAAGTAGAATCACAGTATATTGTTTAAAGCGAACAATAATATTTATCAATAATTTAATCAGTGTATTGCTCTATAAAAGGGTTTTGGATTACTAATAAAAACCTTTTCTTTTAATTTTATAAAACAAGAATATTGATTTTTATGAATATCACTAGACAAGAATTCCTACTCGAATTCAAAAACTCAACTAAGTTCTGAACTCATAAGTGAGCTATCTTTATTAAAGTGGATTTTGTCATCCTTATATACTTATTTCTTTACGTTAATTTGCTTCACACTTTTCAACTATATCTATTATATCTAACAGTTCTAATATATATTAGATTTGGTATATTTGTTCTGAATCATCTCAATCTCCTATATGCAGAAAAGGTTTTTTTGAGCTATGTATGTACAATTTACCTTTACACACTGGTTTCCATCAAATACTACGTTGATGTATATATCTTACTTCTAGAATTTTTTATTTTTTATTTCACTATTTTTACTAACTATTTCTACACTTTTTTCTTTCGAGTTATCCTTTTTTTAGTGTCTTTCGATAGTACTATATAGTGACTCTTGATATAACGAAGCTTATCATTCCAGTTCTTTACTCCATTACATCAAACACTTCATTATATCAGAATTTCATGATATATAAGATATTATAGTAAATCATAATTTGGACCTATTATAATTTTCCATATTAAGCAATATTAGTTATATCAAGAGCCACTATATATATTGCTTTTTTAAATTCTATAATTCTTTTTATTAAATATGAGTATCATATATTTTTTGGTTCTTTAATATAAACTTTCTTATTTTGATTTTTTTTTTACTATCTCTAATTTCTTAAATAGACTTGCATTACATTATGTTAATTTTTAATAATGATTCGATTTCACAATTTATTGCTATTTTTAATTATATCTTTATTTAAAGTTTTAATAAAGCATTGAATTTTATATATTAATATTGTTTTTTTTTTGATGTGTTATATATTTGCCAAATAATATAAACTTTACAACTGAGATACCTATCTAGAAATTATCATTAATATATCATAATGGCCTATCCATTTTTGTGATGATCTTTTTTTTGCTCACCCATATTAGGAAATTACCTAATTTCTCTTTTGCGCATCCACAATTTCAACTATATTAGGCAATTAATTATATTCAAACCTACTAGAGAAGTGCGCTTGGCATAATATAATTAAATTTTTTTACATATCTTATAATGTTTGGTTATTATTATTATATCAATATAATCTTATCTTTGATTCCAATCACTGCTCTATATAATGCTAGATTATTATTGCTTCTAGACTCTACTCTGTATAAGTTGTATGATAATCAAAGCTTATCGCAAATATGTGAATTCAATATTTTGCCATTTCTATAATTTAAATGTAATCGTATTATTCTTATTGCTTCGTGATCCGATAATGATCACACAAACAATATTTATTTAAACTAATACTTTTGATTTTACTATGAATTAACCAATAATTCATTTATCATTTAGTAATTATACATATTATTACATCAAATTTTCAATTTCTATTAATGTATTAACTTGAATTTACTCTATTAAAGCTTTCAATATCCCTACCCTTTCATGTGTAATCTTTCATCTTTAGATCTAACAACACCTTTCAGTAGCTCTGTATCATCAAAAGAATATCAAAAGCAACTCAACTGTGATCATCAGAAATGACCTCTTACCTTTACTTACTACCGAAGTCTCTATGATTACTAATCTTGAATTAACTAATACCCAAAGTAATCCAAATTCTTGCTATGATAAAACTAAACGTCATGATATAGGTAGAATGAATCAGACCTGTCAACATTGTAAAGCAAATTTTTGAATGATTGAAAAAGATCAAAATAGTGGATATGCTACTCCGAAATATCCTTTTTGTTGTGCTAGTAGCAAAATACAATTACTACCTTTACTTAAACCTCTACTCTATCTATTAAATCTTTATACTTCAACTAATTCTGATGCAGTCAACTTTCGTAAATACGTTAGAGGTTATAACAGTGCCTTGGCTTGCACTTCTTTTGGTGCTAACATAAATAACTAATTTTTGGGATGTGGTATATCGAATTTTCAGATTTATGATCAAGCCTATCATCTAATCAGATCGTTATTACCAAATGAAGGTCTCATACCAATATTTGCTCAACTATATATTTATAATACTGCAAATAAAATTACAAACTATCATAATATAATGCAGAAATTAAATGAAAACATTTTACAGAATTTACAGAATATGCTAGATATCTGCAATCTGTATATTTAAAATTTCTGTCACATAAGAGATCTTCTATAAAACAATGTAACCACTGAAATTTTGATGATAATTTATAGTAATAGAAATCAAGACATTCGTTATTATAATGCTTTAACAGCTCCTGATGTAGGTGCAATAATAGTAGGTGATAATCATAAGATAAATCTAACGAGTCATAACATTCTTCTTAGAACACGTGATAGAAATTTGCAGAGAATATCAAAGTTTCATCCTTCATATAACCCTCTCCACTACATATTATTATTCTCTAAAGGTGATAATGGGTAGTACACAGATATACCACTCATGAACGCTTTAAAAAAAGAATGAGTAACAACTATACAATTTTATTTCTATCGATTGCAAATTAGAGATGGTAATTGGATACAGCATGCTGGCTGCTTATATCAACAGTATATTGTTGATCAGTATGCTAAAATAGAACAAAATCATTTAATTTACCTTAAGCATAATTAAAAAATTACTTCATGCTGAAATTTATCAAGGTATTATAGATGCAGTATATACTGGAGAGTGTAGTAATACTGTTGGTCATCGTATAATCCTTCCATCATCTTTTACAAATGGACCACGTCAAATGTATCAGTTATATCAGAATGCAATGGTAATTATTACTCACTTTGGAAAACCAGATCTTTTTATCACATTTATATATAATCTTAAATGGTCAGAAGTTACCAGAAAATTATTACCTCTTCAGAACACTGCTAATAGGCCTGATTTAATAGCCTGTGTGTTTCATATAAAATTACAAATACTGTTAAAAGATTTGTGTCATAACTATTGGCTTGGTAAAGTTATTGTATACATATATGTAGTAGAGTTTCAAAAACATGATCTTCTTTATACACATATTCTATTAATCTTTGCTCCAGACAACAAATTATGAACTATAGAAGATTATGATTCCATCGTTTCTGCTGAAATCCCTGATATTTGCACATATCCACTTGCCTATAAAACAGTAACAACCATGATGATATATGGTCCATGTGGTTTACTAAAGCCTGACACACCGTGTATGAAAGATAGTGTCTGTACAAAACATTATTCTAAAACTTTTTAAGAATATACCTTGGAAAGTAATAGTAGATACCCTATTTATTGCAGACGAAACAATGCATATTTTGTTAAAGATGGAATCTAATTAGACAATATATAGGTTGTGCTGCATAATGTCAAATTATGTACAAAATACAATGCTCATATTAATATTGATATTTGCAGTTCTATAATGGCTGTTAAATACCTATATAAATATGTATATAAAGGGCATGATTGAGTGATCGTTATGTTTGCCTATTCTAACCAAGCTGATAATTAACAACTTTCACCTGAAGATTGATGAAATTAAAATGTACCTGGATGCAAAATATGTTTCAGTATCAGAAAGTATCTGAAGAATTTTTCATTATAAATTGCATAATTATAGTCCAAAGGTACAAAGGCTTGCTATTCATTTTGATAAATATCAATATCTTATATTTCAAGATGAAGACAATCTTCAGAATATCGCTAACTCTAATCAAAATCGTATAACAACCTTGACTGCTTAGTTTCAGGAGAATATAAAGAACCCAACGATACATATATAAAATTACATCAACTTTCCTTCTTATTATACTTAAAATTCTTCATGCTGTAAATAGACATTTAGAAAAACATTAATGACTATGATTGGGCAACTTTATATGGTATAGCCTTCCAAAGGTGAGAGATATTATTTACAAACTTTACTTATATATGTAAAAGGTGTGATTAGCTTTAATGACTTAAAAACTATCAATAGCTATATATGTAGTAGCTTCAAAGAAGCTTGCTCTTATCTTGGTTTTCTTCAGAACGATATTGAATGAGATGCCTATTTGCTTGAAGCAAGTACTGTACAGACAGAACACCAACTTCAACAGCTTTTTGCAACTATCCTTCTATTTTGCCAACTGCTGAAACCTGAATTATTATGGAATAATCATAAAGTAGAATGTGTGAAGATATTTTATATCGAGCTCATATACAATTACAAGATCTCGATAATGCAAGTGATGTCCCTGCTGTAATTGAACATGAAGCTCTTACTTGATTAGAAAATATACTTTTGATATGTGGAAAATCTCTAAAAGATTTTTCTGATATGCCAATTTCCCCTATCAATTCAAATATCAGTAATAATAAAGAAGTATTAAATCACTTAATATGTGAAGAAAGATTCTATAATATAACAGACTTACAAGCCAAATTACAACACAACATACCTTTGTTAAACAATAATCAATGTACAGTATCTGATGCTGTTACAAGAGCAATTAATAATGAAGAAGGAGAATGTTTTTTTGTAAATGGACTAGGTGATATAGAAAAAACTTTTTTATATAACACTTTACTAGCAAGTGTTAGATCACATCATGACATTGCTTTGGCAGTAGCCTCTTCAGAAATCACAGCACTTTTAATAAAAGGTGGATATACAGCTCATAGTCATTTCAAAATTTTACTTAAACCTGATAAATCTTTTACATATAATATTTCACAGAACAGCAAAGAAGCCTATTTAATCAGCATTGCAAAACTTATTATCTGGAACGAGGCTCTAATAACTAATAAGTTTACATTTGAAGCCCTTGATCATACATTTCATGATATTATGTGAGTAGATGATCCATTTGGAGAAAAGGTCATTGTTCTTGGTGGTGATTTTCGTCAAGTACTATCTGTTGTACCTTGTGGCTCCTGTGCAAATATCATTTCAGCTAGCTTACCCCACTCTTCATTATGGAGTCACATGAAAATCATAAAATTAACAATTAATATAAGACTCTAGCAAGCTAATGATATTAATGAGAATCGGAGGCAAAGAGAATTTGCTGAATTTCTTTTACAAATAGGAGATGAAACATATCCAATCGTTGCAGACACAGAAAATAAAATAACACTCTCTTCCAATATGGTCATAACTGGTAGAATGTTATCAGATCTTATTAATTATATTTATTCAAATTTCATCTAAAACTCTAATAATATTAATTACTTAACTGAAAAAGCTATACTAACTCCAAAAAATAATGATATTGATATAATCTCTGATCTAATGATAGATCAGTTTCCTGGTCTAGTTTCTATATATTCTAGCGCAGATTCTACAGATTCAGCAGATAATAGAAATATAAGCTACTCTTATCTATACTCACCATAATTTTTATGATCCTTAAAAATCTCTGGCCTTCCTCCTGGTCAATTAAAGTTAAAAGTTGGTATACCTATAATGCTTCTGCATAACTTAAATCTAGCAGAAGAACTTTGTAATAGAACCTGATTAATTTGTCAAGCTCTTTATAGCAAAGTAATTATTGCTAAAATTATTACAGGATCCTATATTAGTAGTCATGTATTTATATCTTAAATTTCATTATCACCTTCTGATACCGAATTACCTTTCATTTTAACAAGATGCCAATTTCTGGTACATTCTGCTTTTTTCATGACCATCAACAAATCACAAGGTTAAATATTGAATCAAGTTGGTATCTATTTACCAAAATCAGTTTTTTCACATAATTAATTATATATCACATTATCAAGAGTTATTTCATATCATGCTGTTAAAATTCTCACATCTAATAATTCAAATATAACTTTAAATTATTGTTACACAAATAATGTTGTATATCGTGAAGTCTTTTTGCATATAATGTAATACTTGAGTGATTTTCCTACAATATTTCTCCATTTTGTAACCGTATTGACCAAAAGACAAAATAAAATATTATATATAATATATTTAACATTCAATAAAAAATTAACAAAGCAATAGATATTCTTCTTATCAATTTACTTTACTCTGAATAAACTTAAATCCTTTTCTCTTGACTTGATATAACAACTAAATTCAGTGTTTCTTAAATGTAACATCGCATAAAAATATTATAAGCTGAACTAACCTTAATCTAATTAATTAATTATCCTTTATTGATTATCAATACCTATATTTCTATAATGAAAATTTTTCTATACTATATATTTTGGTTTTTTCTGATACCTCTAGTCAATAAACTATATATACAATTTAAGTTACCTATTTTAGAAGCCCAATCTAATTTGTTATATTGTATCTCTAACAATTACATAGCCTTTTACTTCCCTTACAACCCAATTAATAAATATATACCATAAAATCGCTAACCTAACATTAAATAATTGCACTGCCTACTGTATAGCTTAATCCTATACTTCTCTCTGTACTACAAATATATTTATTAGCAAGGTAAAGTTAAACAACGACACTTAATGCAAAGATATTTGCTTAACTACAGTATATTGATTTGATTTGAACGAAAGTAAAGAAACTTTTTTTTTCTTACTTATATACTATATATTTAACTTATTATATCATTGATCACTTATATTATATACTTTAATATGATAAATAAGAATTACATTCTCTGATTAACCTGAACCGATCAATGTTCATGATTAAATCACGTGCTCATAAGCTCTTCATACAACTACTTCAGGACCCAGGAAATCTACAGACAGTGCATTGTGACTAGGGTGTCCAGGATTATGTCATGCAAAATTATGTGCATAGTTGACTATATTTTCGTATCGAATATGCTTTGTATAATTAAGAAAAAAAGACATAATGCACATGGGTAGTATGTAATTGGTAAATGTGATACTTGACAAGTGAATATTCTGAAAACTTCCAGTATAGAAAGTCTGAAATATTCCTAAGTTTTCGCATGATTGACAAAATTTTAAATAAGAAATCG